CTCGTATTAGGGTACGTCCCTCCCAAACGATCATCAATAGTACTTCCATGAACCTTATGGTTCATAGATCCAAAGCTATTACTCTATTACAGGAAGAAGAACTCATAATAACAACATTACCAACACAATCAGGGGACTTTAACTATAGAAATTCAATAAAAAACATCTGGCGCACTTTCATGATTTCCCTCCAACCAGTTAACACCTCACTCATACACTTATCATGGGTTCTACAAGCCTATACATAACTATGCCTCCGTTAATCTTTTTGATCTCATTGACCAACAATTTGCATCAACTGTCACATCCCAAACCAGAACGGTGGAAACATCTTGGGTTAATGACTTTCATGTATAATATCATAATAATTGAATAGTAGCAATCAAGCATAACAACCATTATATAGAATATTTAATAAGGTTACATTGTACTAAAAAAATTGTCTACTTGATATCAAATGCATATGACAAAAATAAATAACATGATGCGACGACGCTTCGTCCACCAAGAACTCTCGTAGTTACCTGTTTACTGATTTCCTGAGAATATAAAGTGATTTTGAAAAGTGTCAACAATTAAGTTGGAGACTTTATAGGAATTTTGTATGAGAAGGATTTGTAACTGTGTCGAGTAAAATGATAGTGTATACTTTCAGAAAATCCAATATTTTCTTTCAAAAGCGAGCTGTAAGTCTTAAACCCAAAGACTAAAAATGTAAGTAATTATGTTATGGAAAACAGTGTCATGAAGTTTTATCTTTATATAAAACTACTTGAATGTATGTTAACCCCGTAAACCAAATGTTTTGTTAATACCCCATGTGAGTTATCATAACCATGCTAGCGACTAGTAGCCTGTAATAATGTTCTTCAGGCATCGAAAACTGTTAGACATTTGTCACCCCAGACCTGGCGGTCTAATTGTAGCTAACAGTTTAGGTGCGGGGTTGTCAATCCCGTATAGATCTATACACAAGTTTCACGCTCTCCCTAGAAGAGACTCTGGTTATAATGTAGGACTTAGTGTGTACTCTGGTAGGTACGGTGAAGTCAAATATCTCACAAAATTGTATCAACCGGTTTACATGAACTGAAAACCCCTTTTTCTTGGAAATTAAATAATTATACCTTTAAATAATTATATGTTTCTTTTGTAATAATAGTGTAGTGTTTGTGACTCCCAAATTATGCCAATTATAGTTTATCATGTTTTTTTTTGTCAAGGCTAATTATATACCCATTTTTATAAATACATAGTAGTTATTGTCTAGTTTCAACATGTATGGTCACAACATCATATTTTTGGGTTGTAACCCACAAATTGGTGAGATCACTATAATGTACCCCTTTTGTAAGAAAAACTATATTTTGGGTAAAATGCTTCAAAAACCATGTAGTTTTGCATCCATAATTTTTCTTATGATTTTATAACATAGATTATGTTTTGATTTTGTTAGTTTTGCTTTTCAAAACTAATATATATATATATATATATATATGTATGTATATATACGCACACACACTTATACAAATGATGTCTTTTGGCTTTCAAGGATTTATTGCAAAATAGTTATGATATGGTTTAGTTATACATACATACAGTTTAGACCTTGATTGACCCAAAATTTTCCAGTTGTCACATCATCCCCCTGTTAGAGGGAATTTCGTCTCAAAATGTGCATCTCGGACGGGTTCTTGCAAACTAGATGAAAAGTTTTGGGTATTTCTGTTTCATTTGGTCCTCTCGTTCCCAATTAAATTCAAGTCCTTGCTTGGCGTTCCAACGGCCCTTCACTATTGGTATACGACCTTGTTACGTGCTCTTGATATCCATGTCCATGATTTCCACAGGTTCCTTTATGAAGTGTAGACTCTCGTTTACCTCGATTTCATTGAGTGGGACTAAAAGAGTCTCATCAGTCAGACACTTCTTTAGGTTGGATACGTGGAAGGTGGGGTGTATGTTACTAAGTTCCTGTGGTTGTCGAAGTTTGTAAGCCACCAGGCTGATTCTACCAAGGATCTCGAATGGGCCGATAAACCTTGGATTCGGCTTTCTAAATTGTATTGTTCACTTCCTCGGTGAGACCTTCAACAGCACATGGTCACCACCCTGGAACTCCAAGGGTTTCTGTGGTTTATCCGCATAGCTCTTTTGCCGATCCCGAGATACTTTTATTCGTGCACAGATTTGGACGATCTTCTCTGTGGTTTCCCGTATGATCTATGGGCCAGTGAGAGCGCTATTAGGAACTTACCCTCTTGCTAGCTACGTGTCACCCACTTCAGCCCAGCACATAGGTGATCTACACTTGCACATAGGTGATCTACATTTATGATTATTAAAACTCATAAGATTTCCATAAGTTATAAAAAATGAAGAGTCTTATTTTTGTAAATGCTTTAAAGTCTTACATAACTTATCCTCAAGTTATGGAACTTGAAGAGTTTTTTTTTTTTTTTTTTTTTTTTTTTTTTTTTTTAAAACTATTTTAAACACATAAGTTATGGAATAGAAAAGTTTTTGAATTATTCAAAACTTGTCCTCAAGTTTTGGAATTTGTAAAATTTCACACACACTTTAGTTCCAAACCCTAGAATTTTAAAAGTTAAAATTCAACATTTATACCTTATAGTATTATAAGTTTATATATATATATATATATATATATATATATATATATATATATATATATATATATATATATATATATATATATATATATATATATATAAAAGAACAAAGTCAGTCTTACCGTTAGTAGGCCCCATTCACAAAGCCGGTCTATAAGGGGGTATAAGGTTACTACCTATAAAATGACAGTTTAATGGGTGTCCACTCTCACCCACCGCTTCCTTGACTGGTGGAGGGTCGTTAGCCGAACGGGTAGGACAAGGACTATAATTCTCATTATAAGTATAATGATAAATATAAAGTAACTACCTTTTATAAATTCTCAATCTTAGTTACTTTAGGAAAATGTGAATTTGGTGCTAACCCATGAAATTACACTTTTCACTTTGCTTAAGTCATTACTGGAGCGTGTGTGGTTAATCGGTACACTAACATGGATCTAACAAGGTAGGCAAAGGGTAACTTAACGTTTATCATAAGATTGGTGGAGCGCGTGTGGTTAACCGACACATCGATTAAGTGATAAATATTAAGGGTACCAAGTATATTTGCATGGTTATTCACACCTTGTTTTGTGATCCTCGGCATCCCAGTCACAAAACTTGAAAGGGCACAATCGAGATTGAAACATGCCATTGAAAAGTTCAATGCATGTCAAAAGATCTAGGAGTTTCAAATCCAATTAAAATCTAATAAATTATTTCGTTTTTCATGGTGGAAATTGGTGAATCATCATTCGCCTACCTTCAAATATTTTATAGCTTGGATTACGACATCCCTCTTCCAAGTTATAAAATATTTTGTTGGGTCATAGCCTTAATATTTCATATTGGGTGTTATATTAAGGATTTAAATCAACTAACTTGAAATGTCTCCCATTGTAAATGTCTGGTTCATACAATTATGATCTTCCCAAATCTTATGGAAATCATACTTCTCTTCCTCCACCTCCTCCAATTATTCTCCCTAACCTACAAGTTCAAGGTCACTCAAGCCCTATTGGCAAGCATGGTCTATGTGTGCTCACATCTTGGAGATGAAGTCACATATTGACAAGTCGGGCGAGTTGGGTGTTAAAGTCTTGAGGAAGTTGGATGTTGACTAATCACTTCCTAAGTCACATAGTGATTTCTTTAAGGGCTACCATGTAACAGACTATGACATGACCCTTAATGATCTTATCAATTTGCTTGGTGCTGCTAAATCAACAATGATTTGGAGCATTGGTAAAGCAAATTTAATTAGAAGATCAACTTCCCAAACTATCATGGACCTTGACAATGGTAACATTGGATATCCAGAAAATCTTTCTCTTCTCAATAGAAAGGGATCGGCCATAGTCAACTTGGTTGACCAAATGGTAAAGAGAAAGGCAAGTCTAATATAGTCCAGTGTACCATTCCCAAAGGGTCCATATGGTTCTATTGCCAAAGGAAGGGGCATTGGTTGCGAAGCTGCCCTAACTATCTGAAAGATCTGAGAGAATATCAAGTCAAAAAGTTTGACTCTGCTTCATTTAAGTCCACTATCTAACTCTATTAAGTTCCTATTTGAAAATTCATAATACATTTTGTTGTATGACAGGATCAAGCAAAGGGAAAGCAACTTAAAGGAAGAGTATGCTGAATTTAATCGCGAAGATGGATTTCAATCACATGGTTCAAAGATCGGCTTCTTGAGCTACTACTTAGGAGTTATGATAGATTGCTAGAAGATATGTAATAACATAGTTTTCATTTAAAGTTGCATTGTAAGGAAAAAGTTTTTTTGCATTTTATAAATAAATAAAAATTTGTTTTATTTTATTATATCTCCTTGCAATGGCACTTATAATGTAAAACCCAGTTTATTTATTAGTTAAATAAATAAATTAATGAACGAATGGTAGCCTAAAATAAATAATTATATGCAGGGCGTTGGGTTGGAGGAGTTAATTTCCACATTTCTATAAGTCGGGGGTTAATAGTGTGTGTATGGGAACCATTTTATAAATATTTATGAAGACAGGGACTCCGTGGTAATTACTTGGAATTAATTTTAAAAAAAGAAATGAGGTGGAGAGGTCAATTATGTTGTAATTAAGACTATGGGGGCTGTTTGGTAATTTAAGGGTCGAATTTGAAAAGGATTTCCGAGGTTAGGGTAGAAAGGGTAAAATATGGCCTCATTTTGCAAGAATAAGAAAAGGGAGGGACCAAAGGTGTTGTTATGGAGAAACGTTTGATGGGCTACGGGAGTATAAAACCCATCGCATGATAACCCTAACCCTGGCATGAAGGCAGCCGCCATCATCGGAAGATCTCCAGCAGCCACCCTCACCTCTTCAACTTCCAGCCGCCGGAGCCAATTCCCCTACGCCGGAAAGTATGCAAGGTCGTTGGAGGTTGCTGCTGTGGATCGTCGCTGCCACTCATCGGGATGTTGCGACCGCTACTCTCGTCTCTTCAGTTTCCGACGCCGCACCACCCTCTTATTCCATTGTTCGTCCGCCGCCACATCCCATGCCGCCTTGCTGCTGTCGCTGTTGGCTTTCTGACGAGAAGAAGAAGTCGAGAATCGGAGCACCACAGTCGCAATCGCTGGTTCGTTTCACCGGTCTTTTCATTGCCGCCGTCATCCTCCTCCATGTTCGAAGTATATATGTATGGTGGGTGTTTTGTCTGTGGGTTTGTGCGCGTTTCAATACTTTTGGTGTGTGCTGGTTGGTCGGAAAACCCGAGGAAACCACCATGGCTGCCAACCATGGTGGCTGTCGCCGCTAGTTCCTTTTCTGCCACCCTTAGCCACCGTAAAAGGTTGCTGTGGGTGTGTTTATGGGTGTATGTTCGTGTGAAATTGCTGCTACCGGTTTCGTTGGAGTTGTATGGGTGTTTGTGTGGCCGGAGAGTCCACCACCACAATCGTGAGGTGGTGGCTACCACCATGTGCCGCCATATGTGTGTGTTTATCTTAGTGTGTGGGTGTGTTTTTATTTGAGTTTTTAGCATTGTAATTTGTATCAAAAATAGAATAATGGAATGAAACTCGAAACCACCACCGTAGGGTGGTGGCTGCCGCCTCCTGCCGCCATGTCGGGTGGCGGTGTGCTTTGATGGTGTTTGGACTCGTTTGGATGATTAGACAAAGGACTAAAACCCTAATGGGCCTTGAAACCCTATTGGGCCTAACAAAGCTTAAGGGGCTCTAATGGACCCAATAAAACCCTAATGGGCTTAATAATATGTTAGTGGGCTTGATAGGCCCGATAAAGCCCTAATTGACATAAAAGGCCAACAAATTGATAAATGGGCTAATATTTGGATTGGAAAACCCTAATGCCATTAAAACCCTAACTTTAATAATTATTCGGGTCACACAAGAATTATTTAATAACTTGAGATATTAAATAATAAGCGTTGGCAAAGATTAATCTAAGCGATAATGGACTTAATGGATTAAGTCCTTAATGGGTTAAGTAGGAAACTTAACCCTAATCATCATTTTATGTGAAACCCTAATTTCACTTGGGTTTATTGTTGGGCCTTTCTATTGGGCCTTGATGATTGGATTAACAATAGGCCATCCAAGAATAATTATATGTCTAAAATGATTTAATGGGCCTAGGGTAAGTCCCATGTAAGGGGTTGGGCCCAATTTGTAAAATTGGGCCATAGATGGACCATAGTTGGGCCTTAATGATTGTATGATGTTGGGCCTTAGAATAAGACCATGTATAGGCCTGGCCCAATTTGGAAAATTGGGCCATGCATTGGGCTTTGATTCCTAGTCGACTTTGGGCCTATGGATTGGGCCTTGGGCTTGAATAAGCCAAGCTAGGGGTAATGTAGTAATTACCCAAAGAATGTACTTATGGTTATGTATTGGGACCCAATTATTAATTGGGTGTTATTTTGGTGTTGACAGTTCGGGAATCTGTCAGCCAGCAGCTGGGGTCGAGTCTGCGGGACTTCAGCAAGTGTGGGATTGTGTCTTCGGGACTTCAGCAGTGTGAGGTCTTCGGGACTTCAGCAGTGTGAGGTGAGTTACCTTTCAGTAGTAGTGGGTCTAAGGCCACAATGCCGGCCCACTAGTAGGAGACGTATGATAGATGATTATCTTGGTGATATCATCTAGGTTTGCTACTACCTGATATGTTATATGCTAGCATGATATGTTGTATGTGATAGTAGTCGAGTTCGGTTGTTAGGACCGAAGGGTAGTCAGACACCCCAGATACGTCTGACAATATGTGATGATATGTTTGCATGCTGGCTTGTTATGTTATATGCGATAGAGGTAGTATGAGGGGACCAGTCCCCGTGTTCGGTTGTTAGGACCGAAGGGTAGTTCAGGCACCCCAGATATGTCTGAAAGTATGTTTATGTTATGATATATGTGATAGTAGCAGTAGGGGTGGAATAGTCCCCGAGGGTCGGTTGTTAGGACCGACGGGTAGGTCAGCACTCCAGAATGGCTTGACACGGGTAGGTCAGCACCCCAGAATGGCTTGACACGGGTAGGTCAGCACCCCAGAATGGCTTGACACGGGTAGGTCGGGCACCCCAGAATTGCCCGGCAGTATGTATGCTATGTGATTGTATGGTATTTGGTATGATGGGGGAACTCACTAAGCTTTGTGCTTACGGTTTACAGTTTTGGTTTCAGGTACTTGTTTTCAAAGGAGAGGAGCTGGCTCGATTGCAGCGCATCACACTATGGTTTTCCGCACATGAGATCTTTGGGATTACACTCTGATATTATTTTATTATAACACGTTTGATTATTTCTACTCTGGTTTTGACATGACATGATATTACGGATGTTTTATTACACTGTTGGTTTATAATGACGTATTTAAAAATGAAATTTTTGGCTTGTATTTTTGGGATGTTACAAGTTGGTATCAGAGCCTTGGTTTGAGGGATTCGGGCGCGCTCCCGGGTGTGTCTGAACTCAAACTAAGGACTTGGTATGGAAATTTTCAAAAGTAAAACCATTTCATAAAAGGAGTTTGAAAAGAATCTGAAAAGAGAAAGGAACTTTGAGAAGAACATAGTGTGTGATGCGTGCAATCAGCCGAGCTCAAGTAAGTTTTCCCCAAGATACCCATACATGTTATGTTATGGTATGATATGATATGATATGATTATGAGAATTGCATGCTAGATTAGGGCTAAGGATCTAGGAGGATGCCTTATATGCCTATTGTATGTGCTTGTAGACTTGCATGCTAGTACTGATCAGTCAGTGATAGGATAGCTTGTTTAGGTTATGCCTGATTGTATGAGCCTTTTAATTGCATGTACACATTCCTGATTAGAGGATAAAATGATTTGATTGGAATATGATGGTTAGATTTTCCATTGTCTGAATGCTGCTTGCTTTGTGCTTTGTGGGACTCTTAGTAATGTGAGTTAGCTATTAAGTGAATATGCTAAGTCACATGTGGCACAGGCTGGATAATCTCAGAGTGATAGATTTGACCCTATTGCGCAGCTCTCGTTTGAGTCTAACCGTATAGGGATGAGTCTGTTACTTGAAGGATTATCTGATCTCTGTTGCATGTGGCTATATTCATGAGGTAGCTAGTTGACATTACTGGGAATCTTTCGGCAGTTGAGGACTGGGTAAGTTCAGGAACCTAGGGAAGCCTAGGATATATTTCAGTGAGTTAATAGTGAGGCTCAGTTAGACTTGGTGTACCAGTTGAAGAAGTGACTTGGAGGATCCGGGATGATTGCTGAGGAAAGTATGGATAGGTGTGGAAGGTAGTATTGGGCCCGTACTACTGAAAGCACATGATCCATACTCGAATCAGTGAAAGTCTTGGAGAATCTAAGAAGCTTCAGAGAAGAATTTGTGACCCAGTTTGGGGACAAAGGATGTTCCAGTTGTTGCAGCTTAGTCATTGGCAAGCGAGCTAGTGAGCGTGACAGGGTGTCAGACCCTGAAGGATATGATTTCCCAGAGTTGCAGATGCGGGATCGATTTGGGAGCACCCTGGGAAGAGAGGTGTGTGCCAGGTGCGTATAGTAGGGGTCTCGGGAAGAGACCCATGATTTCTGATCATCAGGAAGGGCCAGCAGGGCCGGAGTCAGTGTAGCACGTACAGGACAGTGTACAAGGGAGTTTGTCACTCCAAGGGTTTAGTCTGCTACAAGGTAGCGGGGTTGGTCATGTCAGCAGAAGGTGATCAGTATTGCTTCAGGTGTTGCGGGTATGTCATCTTCTATGATCTTAGGTGAATTTTTGGAATACGTACCGCTTTGGAATTGTGAGTGAGTTTGGATAAGTCAGACCTCGGGTCGGTTTTTCTGCTAGTGTTTGGGTTACCAAGGATCATATATGCCATCTTGCATGCCGAAAGGTCCTTGATGAACCCAAAGAGGAACGCATCTTGCGGAGTGGGTTCTGCGCATACCGTTATCATTTCGATCTTTATCAGGATCTATGCAAGAGTATTATTTTAAGGATACTCGATCAGGGTTGGAGTGATTGTTCTCCAATGAAGTCAGCGTTCAGAAGCTCTATCATTGTTCAGGTATGGTCGGGAATTGTTTATGGATGAACTTTGGATGTTCAAGAGAATTGTGTTTTCGCATGGGCTATGTTCGGTTAGAGTTTAGTGGTACTGCAAGATTGGGAGTGGGAACGAGGATCGTCAGCTAGAGTGAAGATTAAGGTCTTCAATTGATAGCATGTTAGATGGATTGAGGTGTCGGACTGGATTAGATTTCAAGAGTACTCATCGAGATTTCCGAGGATGGGAGATCTCAAGGTTTAATCGGCGATTAAGCGCTAGCATTGGCAGACACAAGTTGTCATCAGTGGGATACTAGGAAGCGAGAAGGGTTGGAAATCCTTCAATTCTTGTGTGCAGTGAAGACTTAGTCGAATCTAAGTGGGGGAGAGACTTTTATAAAGTTCTCCAACTGGGAGTTCTGGTTGCACGAGGTGCAATCTCTTGGGTACCCTGTCAACCACAAGGGTATTCTAGTTGATTCGGCTGAGATAGAGGCGTGATGCAGTGGGAGATTCCGAGGTCTCCATCTGAGATTCGGAATTCCCGGGGTCTAGCGGTTTATTATCGAGATTTATGCGAGACTTCTTCAAGATTGATGTTTCCTTTAACCCGACTGACCAAGAATTCGGTGACCTTTCGTTGGGGGCCTGGGCAGCAGGCAGCCTTCGAGATTCTCAGACAGTGGTTGTGCGAGACATTGATTCTCACTATGCCAGAGGGTGTAGATGACTTTGTGGGTTACTGTGACGCTTGATCACGGGAATGGGTTATGGTACTGATAGAGTGGGGCCATGATAGCATGTTTTGGGAACCAGTCTAGAGTTCCGGTTAGGACTCAAGTTCAGTGGTGTGTTAGGTCGAGTGCGTGTTCGACCCGGTTTGGAAAGTGTTGTAAGACTACGGGGGTAGCCGTAGCATTCACCAGTGGTTAGTTAGCATGGGAAGTGTTGTAAGACTGCGGTGTAGCCTAGCATTCACTAGGGTGATAGATGGCATGAGCGTGTTGTTAGAATGTGGAAGGAGCAATAGTACCCACCAGTTCGGGTGCAACAGTGAGGATATGGAAATCCATGAATTGGACCTCGGATTTACCCAGATGGATTAGATCTGGTTGAGCCAGTGATAAGATTGTAGGAGTGCCACTACAGTGATGGATCAGGGAAGCAGTGAATCGTATAAGGTTGCTTGTGATATAAGGCTACCATCGGTTAGGTAGCAATCAGTTTTAGTCTTGGATTTGATGGTGACAGGATTTGATGCATGGACCCGATCGTTAGATCAGAAAGTTGTTAGAACCTCAGTGGCATGATAACTAGTGGCAACTAGTTCCAGAGAGGGATTTCGTTCAGAAGTCGTGTAAGGCGACTAAGTAGGGAGTCCTTTGGCTCCGCAGCCTGGTGGAAACCTAGTATTTCAGAGGATTGGCAAGCGAATTAAGACCCTGGAGGTCTTGGTAGCTTTTGGTAAGCAGCTATGTAGCCACATACTGCCTCAGGCAGTTCAACGTTCGAGCAATTTCCGCGTTTGGGCAGTGTTCGTATTCGTGTTTTAGGTTGCAAGTACACACGGATAACTAGATGATTTGGGGAGTGACAAGTCACTCACACCAGATTAGTTGAGCCTTGGCTAAGTGTAAGTGATTATAGGGATAACTGGGTTTGTGCACCTGTTTTATAGTGAGGACCTAAAGCTATCAAAAGTCGAGTAGTCAGTTGAGGGATAAACATGCTAGATTCATCGATAATGATTCAGTATGAGTGGTCTGTCAGGCAATCAGACCATCTCGAGATAGTAGATTCAGACGCAGTGGATGTGCTCCCGTTGCGAGGAGTTCGTTCATATGGGGATATTAGGGTTTTGCGAAGATTGGTTATAGCTACCTTGGGAAGGCTAGGGTGTGCTCGGGAAGATGACTATGTTACTAGAGTGGCTTGGTATGTAAGGATTGGTAACGAATGATTTCGAGGACGAAATCTAATTTAAGTGGGGGAGAATTGTAAAACCCAGTTTATTTATTAGTTAAATAAATAAATTAATGAACGAATGGTAGCCTAAAATAAATAATTATATGCAGGGTGTTGGGTTGGAGGAGTTAATTTCCACATTTCTATAAGTCGGGGGTTAATAGTGTGTGTTTGGGAACCATTTTATAAATATTTATGAAGACAGGGACTCCGTGGTAATTACTTGGAATTAATTTTAAAAAGGAAATGAGGTGGAGAGGTCGATTATGTTGTAATTAAGACTATGGGGGCTGTTTGGTAATTTAAGGGTCGAATTTGAAAAGGATTTCCGAGGTTAGGGTAGAAAGGGTAAAATATGGCCTCATTTTGAAAGAATAAGAAAAGGGAGGGACCAAAGGTGTTGTTATGGAGAAACGTTTGATGGGCTACGGGAGTATAAAACCCATCGCATGATAACCCTAACCCTGGCATGAAGGCAGCCGCCATCATCGGAAGATCTCCAGCAGCCACCCTCACCTCTTCAACTTCCAGCCGCCGGAGCCAATTCCCCTACGCCGGAAAGTAAGCAAGGTCGTTGGAGGTTGCTGTGTGGATCGTCGCTGCCACTCATCGGGATGTTGCGACCGCTACTCTCGTCTCTTCAGTTTCCGACGCCGCACCACCCTCTTATTCCATTGTTCGTCCGCCGCCGCATCCCGTGCCGCCTTGCTGCTGTCGCTGTTGGCTTTCTGACGAGAAGAAGAAGTCGAGAATCGGAGCACCACAGTCGCAATCGCTGGTTCGTTTCACCGGTCTTTTCATTGCCGCCGTCATCCTCCTCCATGTTCGAAGTATATATGTATGGTGGGTGTTTTGTCCGTGGGTTTGTGCGCGTTTCAATACTTTTGGTGTGTGCTGGTTGGCCGGAAAACCCGAGGAAACCACCATGGCTGCCAACCATGGTGGCTGTCGCCGCTAGTTCCTTTTCTGCCACCCTTAGCCACCGTAAAAGGTTGCTGTGGGTGTGTTTATGGGTGTATGTTCGTGTGAAATTGCTGCTACCGGTTTCGTTGGAGTTGTATGGGTGTTTGTGTGGCCGGAGAGTCCACCACCACCATCGTGAGGTGGTGGCTGCCACCATGTGCCGCCATATGTGTGTGTTTATCTTAGTGTGTGGGTGTGTTTTATTTGAGTTTTTAGCATTGTAATTTGTATCAAAAATAGAATAATGGAATGAAACTCGAAACCACCACCGTAGGGTGGTGGCTGCCGCCACCGGCCGCCATGTCGGGTGGCGGTGTGCTTTGATGGTGTTTGGACTCGTTTGGATGATTAGACAAAGGACTAAAACCCTAATGGGCCTTGAAACCCTATTGGGCCTAACAAAGCTTAAGGGGCTCTAATGGACCCAATAAAACCCTAATGGGCTTAATAATATGTTAGTGGGCTTGATAGGCCCGATAAAGCCCTAATTGACATAAAAGGCCAACAAATTGATAAATGGGCTAATATTTGGATTGGAAAACCCTAATGCCATTAAAACCCTAACTTTAATAATTATTCGGGTCACACAAGAATTATTTAATAACTTGAGATATTAAATAATAAGCGTTGGCAAAGATTAATCTAAGCGATAATGGACTTAATGGATTAAGTCCTTAATGGGTTAAGTAGGAAACTTAACCCTAATCATCATTTTATGTGAAACCCTAATTTCACTTGGGTTTATTGTTGGGCCTTTCTATTGGGCCTTGATGATTGGATTAATAATAGGCCATCCAAGAATAATTATATGTCTAAAATGATTTAATGGGCCTAGGGTAAGTCCCATGTAAGGGGTTGGGCCCAATTTGTAAAATTGGGCCATAGATGGACCATAGTTGGGCCTTAATGATTGTATGATGTTGGGCCTTAGAATAAGACCATGTATAGGCCTGGGCCCAATTTGGAAAATTGGGCCATGCATTGGGCTTTGATTCCTAGTCGACTTTGGGCCTATGGATTGGGCCTTGGGCTTGAATAAGCCAAGCTAGGGGTAATGTAGTAATTACCCAAAGAATGTACTTATGGTTATGTATTGGGACCCAATTATTAATTGGGTGTTATTTTGGTGTTGACAGTTCGGGAATCTGTCAGCCAGCAGCTGGGGTCGAGTCTGCGGGACTTCAGCAAGTGTGGGATTGTGTCTTCGGGACTTCAGCAGTGTGAGGTCTTCGGACTTCAGCAGTGTGAGGTGAGTTACCTTTCAGTAGTAGTGGGTCTAAGGCCACAATGCCGGCCCACCAGTAGGAGACGTATGATAGATGATTGTCTTTGTGATATCATCTAGGTTTGCTACTACCTGATATGTTATATGCTAGCATGATATGTTGTATGTGATAGTAGTCGAGTTCGGTTGTTAGGACCGAAGGGTAGTCAGACACCCCAGATACGTCTGACAATATGTGATGATATGTTTGCATGCTGGCTTGTTATGTTATATGCGATAGAGGTAGTATGAGGGGACCAGTCCCCGTGTTCGGTTGTTAGGACCGAAGGGTAGTTCAGGCACCCCAGATATGTCTGAAAGTATGTTTATGTTATGATATATGTGATAGTAGCAGTAGGGGGGAATAGTCCCCGAGGGTCGGTTGTTAGGACCGACGGGTAGGTCAGCACCCCAGAATGGCTTGACACGGGTAGGTCAGCACCCCAGAATGGCTTGACACGGGTAGGTCAGCACCCCAGAATGGCTTGACACGGGTAGGTCGGGCACCCCAGAATTGCCCGGCAGTATGTATGCTATGTGATTGTATGGTATTTGGTATGATGGGGGAACTCACTAAGCTTTGTGCTTACGGTTTACAGTTTTGGTTTCAGGTACTTGTTTTCAAAGGAGAGGAGCTGGCTCGATTGCAGCGCATCACACTATGGTTTTCCGCACATGAGATCTTTGGGATTACACTCTGATATTATTTTATTATAACACGTTTGATTATTTCTACTCTGGTTTTGACATGACATGATATTACGGATGTTTTATTACACTGTTGGTTTATAATGACGTATTTAAAAATGAAATTTTGGCTTGTATTTTTGGGATGTTACATATAAAAATTGATGTTTGTATGTTTTTGCAATAATGGAAATATAAATTTGATTCTTTCATTTGTGGTAATCTCTAAATTTACCAAATAAGGAAAAATTCTCATCACCGAAGTTTCAATTGGACCGAAACTTGGGATCATGCAAGTTCTATAGTATGATGAATGAGAATTTTCATCTTTGGGAAATTAAGACTAATTCCTTGTTCACATGTATGTGTGAGTCAAGTGAAGG